TAGGCCATTTACCCACATCACCATCTTCAATTCCACATATGGCAACATTTATCTTTTGTGCATTTTAACTGAAAGTGAGATAATCCAGTGTTAGCAGAGTTTTAGCAAGAGAAGCATGTCACCTATAGAGGCAAGTCAGGCAACAGAGTCAAGGCTGTGCAATGGGGATTGAGCTAAGCAGCACGTTGTCTATAGAGGCAACAGAGTCATGGCTGTGCAATGGGGATTGAGCTAAGCAACATGTCACCTATAGCGGCAAGTCAGGCAACAGAGTCAAGGCTGTGCAATGGGAATTGAGGTAAGCAGCATGTCACCTATAGAGGCAACAGAGTCAAGGCTGGGCAATGGGGATTGAGCTAAGCAACATGTCACCTATAGCGGCAAGTCAGGCAACAGAGTCAAGGCTGTGCAATGGGAATTGAGGTAAGCAGCATGTCACCTATAGAGGCAACAGAGTCATGGCTGTGCAATGGGGATTGAGTTAAGCAACATGTTGTCTATAGAGACAACAGAGTCAAGGCTGTGCAATGGGGATTGGGCTAAGCAGCATGTCACCTACAGAGGCAAGTCAGGCAACAGAGTCAAGGCTGTGAAATGGGGATTGAGCTAAGCAGCATGTCACCTATATAGGCAACAGAGTCAAGGCTGTGCAATGGGGATTGGGCTAAGCAGCATGTCACCTACAGAGGAAAGTCAGGCAACAGAGTCAAGGCTGTGCAATGGGAATTGAGGTAAGCAGCATGTCACCTATAGAGGCAAGTCAAGCAACAGAGTCAAGGCTGTGCAATGGGGATTGAGGTAAGCAGCATGTCACCTATAGAGGCAAGTCAGGCAACAGAGTCAAGGCTGTGCAATGGGGATTGAGCTAAGCAGCATGTCACCTATAGAGGCAAGTCAGGCAACAGAGTCAAAGCTGTGCAATGGGGATTGAGCTAAGCAGCATGTCACCTACAGAGGCAAGTAAGGCAACAGAGTCAAGGCTGTGCAATGGGGATTGAGCTAAGCAGCATGTTGTCTATAGAGGCAACAGAGTCATGGCTGTGCAATGGGGATTGAGTTAAGCAACATGTTGTCTATAGAGACAACAGAGTCAAGGCTGTGCAATGGGGATTGAGCTAAGCAGCATGTTGTCTATAGAGGCAACAGAGTCAAGGCTGTGCAATGGGGATTGAGCTAAGCAGCATGTTGTCTATAGAGGCAACAGAGTCAAGGCTGTGCAATGGGGATTGAGCTAAGCAGCATGTTGTCTATAGAGGCAACAGAGTCAAGGCTGTGCAATGGGGATTGAGCTAAGCAGCATGTTGTCTATAGAGGCAACAGAGTCAAGGCTGTGCAATGGGGTTTTAGCTACAGGAGCATGTCATTTATAGGAGCAAGTGTCAAGGCTGTGAAAAAAGAGGCTTTAGCTAAAGAGGCATGGCGTCTATAAAGGCAACTACCCATAAGTTAAGGTTCAGCAATAGGGATTTTACTATAGGAGTATGTCGTCTATAGAGGCAACAGAGTAGCGGCTCAGCAATAGCGTTTTAGCCAAAGAGCTTATCATATGTAGGAAAAGCAGAGTGAAAGCTGTGCAATCATGTTTTAGCCAGAAGAAACATATCATGCCAAGTAACAGCAGTTGGAGCACAAACTAAGCCAAAATCTCTTGAAAAAATGTCAATGAATTTGATTTACTGCATGAAACCAAATCCTTTTTACTGAAATATCAAAAACAATGAAAGAAACCAAACCATTTTGTGACAATTAAAAAGTAACAGCAAGAATGCGTAGACGTATGTACTGGGGGAAAAAAAGACAAAAATATTTCAGCCATAATTTGGTGTAAGAAAATACACTTGTCCATAAACAATAATTTCTTAAACAACAGAAACACTAAGCTGCTATTATTCTATGTAAATGTAAATATATGTAAGTCAGCATATATTGACTAGTGCCACCATGAATGTACTCTGATAATAACAATTTATGTATACACTATACACACAAGACTTTTGCATGAATGTGTCAATACAAACTGAAACTGGATAAAGGCCAGTTAAAAACAATTATTGAAGTAATCATGGTATATCTTTCCACCGAAGAAATCTGACACCTAAACTTCAAATTTTACATTGGCAGAGCCCCTGTGAACACTACACTTGTAACACAGCACGTACCTCTGCACACTAGATTTTTTTTGTATCAATGCCCTTTAAATATTATCTACAATTCTGATCTTTGATCTCTTTTCTTCAGACCATTTATCTCCTTTTACAGATTCTTTGAAAATTGTTTCAACCTATATCATATGATAGGAAAGGCTAACCAGTGCTAAGCTAGCTTGCCAGTAAGGCAGTATTTTCCCCTCAATTTCCTTAGCTGTTTCAATCATAAGAAATGTCCTCCCAACTTTCCTTTTGGGAGAAATCTCCCTAAAAGTGAAAGCCTGGCCTTTCCTCCCATTCTTATATTATCCAATCTAATTAAAGCTTATGTAGCTTAGCTTTGAAATACTCAGGAATGAAAAGATGTTGTAAAAAGGTTTTACAATGTATTCTCTAAGCAATTAATAAATTCATATCAACCTGTCTTTCGCTTTACAAAAATGACAAAAAGTTTAAAGGTCTGTTGACTACTGCAAGTATTGGTAAGATTATATGTAGACAATCACATAGGGTGGAATAAGACCTGAATGTGTCTAACTGTCTATGTGATACTGGTATGTATATATTCATACTTGGTACATGGGTTACGATAACAAATGTACACTGTAATACAAATTACATGTACCGCTTTTGTCATCGTCAAAACACCAAACCATATGACCTTTCAAATGACATTCAACCCCACACTCTGTTGCCATGAAGTCATGTATACATAAACAATGTCCTTTCGATCATAAAATAACATATATCTATGTTTCAGTTCAGGCCTGCAGGAGAAAGACAAAGTTTTGAAAATATTTTTCTTCCTCATGTATCATCAACTCTGAAAAATTTGAGATCAAAAGTACTATACAGTTTTTTTTAAAAACAAACCAGTTGCAGACTGGGGACAATTTAGTAGAAGCATGAATGTGGTTATTAATCCATAGTGTTAAGTTGTTCTCCTTGGACGATATAAGCCTATTAATAAGTTCAACACCTAATGCCAGTGATAAGCCTTCTAATCAGATTTCTTGACCTATCCTACACGTGTGTCAATCTTTTGTATTTTATTTAAACCCAGCAGGGTGGTTCACATCGTAAATCTCTCTCATAAATGTTCTTGGATTTGGTGAATATATGTATTTACATAAGTGTATTTAAATAAAATGTTAAGCTGGAAGTGGTATTTAAGCTGAATACCAATTATTCAGTAGTTACACCAGAACTCTTTTTCATTATCATTTATTAATAATTTGACTGTTTGTACTAATACCGCCAACAGGTTGTAGGTATATATAAGAACAAAAAAGCATTGCCCTTCTGTCAGTGATTCAAATTCACAATGGTCATACGTCAACTGCCTACCTATATCCACTATAAAGTTTTAGTAATAATCCTTCATAGCATTATCAAATCTTCTAAAGACATTTGCTTGAAAGCTGGAATTGACTTACACAAAAAGTCTCTGTGTAACATTTTACATCAACTTTCTTGGGAAGCCAAATATTGAAAGAGCAGGAATTAATCAATTCTTAAATGCTGTAGATATGCCTAAGCAATTTGAGAGTAGGCCATAAAAAGCCATTCCAATAAAGTGTACACAAATACACTACCTTTAGAAATCCACAACAAAACATTTAAGTAATAGGTCAGGGAAACCTTTTCCTAATAAAGACCTGAATTAATTGAGAATGCTGCCTCAACAAAAAAAATGAAGGTGGAGAAGATGATATAAAGACTAAAAAGAGTCCAGATATATAGGATCCACATAAAAACTGATTGTCCAGATCAGAAAGTTAATTTAAATGTCCTTATACTAGAGCAACAGTAAACCTTGGCTGTCTAATAACATTTCTACTTCCTGTGTAACAATTACAACTTCATTGAAATCTAGATATTTCATCTATCCACTACAACAATTCTGTAGGTTTTCCCATTATACATGACTATTAAATTTAAGATACCGGTAGGTCAGAAATTACGTTACAGGTCATTTTATGTGTACCAATTGAAATCAAATAAAAAATCAAGTAAAAATTGAGTAATTATGCACTGTTAAAACTGAGGATGTCTGACCTACTTCTTGTGGGTCTTTCAGCCTCATGTACCAAATTTAAGGGACAAAGAATCAATATTGGAGGTCTAACAAATCTATATTAGAGGTCACTGGATCAATATCAAAGGTCAAGGAGGCCAACAGAATGGTTTGATAATCCATAATACATCAGACTCGAGATGAATTGCCTGACTAATGGAAATTTCTAATTTCGGATCAGAAGCATTTCTAAGTGGGTGATGGCTGTTATACATGAAATGTTGTCAAAGAAGTACTTAACTCTTAATAATGGTCAGAAATTTCTCTATTTAGCAATTTGTGTCATAGAAATGTCAGAATACACAATAATCATACCTGTAATCATAATCAATTCAAGGATATTATTAGCTTACCAATATCCGATCCATTCAGCATCTTCAGTATGAATGTCTTGATTTTCAAAATGGACCAATATAGAACCAAGGATAAGCTAATATTCTTGAACACTATTTTATTTTAACTTTCTAGGAATATATTTCAACCTCCAATCCTAAAATTGTGCTTTACTGATTTCAAAATCTATCCAGGAGTTTAAAGATCATGCATAATGCCAACTCTTTAAGTGTACAAATTTGATTTCTTGCACCCAGTGTTAATTTCACACAGAATTATGCAGTGTTGACATTATTAACTGTTGGTCTGTAGTGTTACTTCACTAAAAGATTGACCAGCATGCTGAATTTGCAGGCACACTTTTCAACGAAACTCATAATTACAACAGTTGGAAAATAATTACCGTAATCAAATTCTATGGCACAATCAATTGAAATCCGTACCTTAAGCATCCTAACTTCACGTAGAGCAATCTTTTTGACCATTTTATCATCCTCACTTTCCAGGAACTTCTTGATAGCAACAAGTTGACCAGTCTCCTTGTGGCGACATTTGAGTACCATACCATAACTCCCCTCTCCAACCAGACCAAGGTTTTCATACTTCTCCATGGTCCTCAGTGCCGTCGATCCCTTTACTGCAAGCTGTCAATGCAGGTAAAACAAAATAAGAACATACCTTAAGCTGTATAAATTTAGGTCAGATTGGTCGAGCCTCGTTAGCTTCAAAAGTTTACTGCATATTTCAAATATTCATCAAACACAGTAAAACCTGGTATAACATGGGAAGTTATCCAGGCATAGGCCTACAAATTTTGAGATAACAAAACAAAGCTGGGGCATATGGAGCTATTTTGTGGACACGAAAAAGGTCATGTATTTGATAGAAAGTGTACCAATTTGAAAAAATTGCTAGATTATATAGTAAGTGAACTTTGCATGATGTTCTGGTATAGAGAAAAACTCTAAATTTCAATAATTAAATTGGTCATATCTCCAAAATTATTCATAATGAACTACTGTATACATTAAACACATGTAACATATATAATGAAGAAGGTTTAAAAGAATACCAATTATAATGCATGGAACCCAATATTATTCATAAGTTGCATAAGATTTCTCAAAACATGTACTATAAATATTGATTTAATATTCCAGAATAATCAACAAACATAAGGATTTCACTGTTACTGTAAATTACAATGCATGTACATTTATATCTATTAATAAACTAATCTTCTAATTCCAGGACCTTGTTATTATGCCATCATTTGTACAGCAAAATGTTGGCACTAAAAAGGGTTTGGCATGCACAATATACATGTAGCAAAGGAGATTAATGAAGGAAAGGGATCCAAAATATGTTGGTGGTAAGCAAGTTGAGAAAAGTACAAGGGCATTACATATAAATTGTTTCTGGCTCTGTGATAAAATATCAGAACCATCAACACAGGATTGACCTTAATAGAAGGTATATGAAAATACATCGCAAGATTGAGCAATATTAAAAGAAATGTAGACCATGAAAAAAATCATTTCTTCATATCTGTTCATGCAAATATTAAAAGATGTCTACAAGTGTATTTCAATGCAAGTTGATGGGTCCCAACATGGTTAACAATGAATATAGATATATACAAGTTCATGCTGGTTATAATAAATCCATAAATAATACATTTTAAGTTTTTCCATAACAATACGTGATTTGTCTTTATGAATAGGCACCATTACAGATCAGTCTGTGATAGCCTAGCTATTTGGCCAAAAAAAACATTATTTCTGTTTCTTACATTTACTATAAACCTTTCAAGCCGACACCGAGTACATTTTGATATGCAATACAAGAGAAGAAATTAGGACTAGAATTACTAGAATGCCTAGATACTGTTAAGAGGTACAGGTCAGTACAATTAACAGAATATCAACAAATGGTTTTTCTTCCTTTTGCTTTCATTGTCCTGAAAAAAAGCTACATAAATACTGCAGACAAGGAGCCTTTTAACATGATGAATTTATGACATTAATTTAAATCTATGACAATTGTAAGGATTTTTTTGATTTTTTTGAACAAAAGACTGAGATGTATATTTGATGTAATAACCAAAATATGCATGAAACAAACATCTTTGACTTTGTCATGATGGCAAGAACAGTAATATTTGTAGCGGTAATACATTGGTTTTGGTGATGTTAAACCATTGTTTTCCTAAAAGCATTATATCTTTCCTATAACGTTTCAATCAGTAATCGGTGTTAGGAAACAGGTAATTTTTTTCTTTGCTGTTTAAGACGACAGTATTTTACATTTCATTTACTTCATAGTGAAATAAATATAAAAATAGAATGTTTATATATGTACACAGGTTCCATTCAGTAATAAATCAGCCTGTTATAAAAAAATCTTGACAATTTAATGTCATGATGCCCCCTATAAATTTTCCTCTTCACCGATTTCTTCTTGATGTCAGTTTTTATTGATGTTTACCCAATGTATCACTTCAATCTGTTAAAAGCTTTTGAAAAGCAATAAGTTATCTAATAACATACAACCATCTCAAATGTATGTCTACCATATATTATTGAGTGATAAACCCAAGCCTCCTTCCTTCTTGTCTAACAACTGTTGGTCGTTTCCTCCTCAAGCACTCTCTTTTTACATCGAAGCTACCTCCAAATAATCTTTTTCTAAGATATGTAGTCATTATGATAAAAGTTGAAGCAACTTCGAAAGTTGGCTACCATGACACATTTTAGATAAGAACAAGCTATTTTGAAAGACACCGGTCAGTGCTTTTTCCAGATTTTTTGAGAAAGGGATTGGTTTGATTTGGTTTGATTTGGTTTAATTTTGTTTAACATCCTATTAACAGCTAAGGTCATTTAAGGACATGTCTCCATGTGTGTCCTGTATGCGTGCTTGCATGTGTGTATGCAGGAGACCGGGTATCTTGGTGTGCTTGCCTTGCCTCCATGTGATAGCGCGGATCTGATGCTGACTTCATAGTGCTATCTCACTGAAATGCCATGCCGAAGGCAACCAGCACAGCATTCCGCCCGGTCACATTATACTGACAACGGGAGAAAGGGTTGGGAGGCAAACATAAGGTAACATTTTTCTCAAACTTCTTTTTCTATCTTTCTTTTTTGACTGAAGCAATGTCAGTAATCTGAGTAGAAAATAATTACTTGAAATTTGGATCTTCTATTGGAAACTGATCCTCTAAGAATCCCTGTATATCTGTGTCTTAATGCTGAGTAAGAATAAGGTTAAAACGGGTAGAGGTCATTTATAATACATCAATAATTAACTACTTCGTTGATGAGGTCACTGATCAGAATCCTAAAAGATATTTTACATTGGTAATTGATCTTGTAGAATCATAGGAAAATACCTGTCTCCCAGCATCTAAATCCTGGACAATAATTATGTGAAAATGGGTAAAGGTCATTATACATTAACAATCAATTACTTCCCTAATGTAGTCACTGATCCAAAAACATAAAAAATAATAGGAAAAGTACCTGTTATATCACACAACATGAGCTGTTTTATTTATAATACACAGTATTCAGACTTTGTTAATTATTTACAAAGGTTCACAGAAGTTGTGTGAAGTCTATACAGAAAACCTTTAGCAGCTATATATTATTGTATGATTTGGCCAGTCCAGAAACAATGGCTGGTCTTGTGGCTTTGTGTGGCTTTGTGTGGCATTGTAGCCATTCCGAGTGCCGTGCCGTGTGACTATGCCAATGCTTCAGTCTTACCTGGGGGTCACATTGGGGTTCCAAGTCTACCTTCGTATTAACTCATACACAGATAAACCGCTATTTTAATGGAAAGGGCAAAGTGGACACAAATTTTTTGCGTCAAATTACATTTAAAAAAGTATGAATTATATATGAAACTGAATCAACAAAAATATATGAGGAAAGTTTTCAATGGTAACTTGGGGATCTGAATCGGAGGCATAAACCTGTTTTTGAAATACTGGAGAGGAATGTCAAAAAATGCATACAAGTATTTCATAAAAGAGAAAATATTTTTCAATTGTGACCTTATAAAATAAGTTTACAGAAGTACAAAGAAATATTTTCATCAATGACATTATTAAATATAATTATATAATATTATGTACAGTTGTAATTACAACAGTTCAAAATGATAGGGCCATTCATGATGATATCGAGAAGGCCATCCTACAGGCCTATGTAAAATTGAGGTACCCTTTGTTACCCCTTTTAAAGTCTGGGCGAGACTATTGATTGTATGAGAAGGCTGAACATCGACTTGACAGATACTGTGTGCAATTAATAGACTAACAATCAACCTTAGCCCTTTGTAATCAGAAAGGCATTAATAAAAATGGTTTAAATGCATAGTGGAAGATAGATATCAAGTTGGTAGGTGTATTTCTATACTAACGTGTACATTGTATAAAGCTGGCATCCCTTCATTTCTATATATAATATATATATATACATACATACACACGCAGGGGAAATATAACATTGTCTGTTAGCATTATTCTGTCCTGGCTTGGGAGATGGGCCTTACCTCAAATTACACCTGATTGTGAATTGTTTAAATCTACTGGTATAGCAGGTGTTACAGTGTGAATGTTGATTATCTTAAAATATACCGGCATTACAATATAGTGCTGTGCCGTATGTATACTAGATCTACAAAAGTCACACGCGATATTTACAATACAAATATTTGTCTACAATATACTAGTCTATGTGTGTACGTGTTGGCAATATAAAAATAACATGTTTCTATTTAGTCTATGTGTATGCATGCATTGGCAATATAAAAATAACATGTTTCTATTTACATTAGCAGTTAATCTGTTTTCTGGCCAAGCACACATTGCCAGTCTCATATTACCTGTCTACGTTAAATCAGTCAAATATATACTACCTTAAGAAAGTAGCATATGCTTGAAATAATATAGGACACAGTGTATTATGAAGATAAAATACTTTGCATGTACCTACCATGAAGTCAAAAAAAAAAACTTGTACATGGTTTTTGATGAAAAATGTGTCTGATTCCCGTTTCATTTGTAATTCTACATAAAAACATTTATCAGAAAAGCATATTTGAAAATACTGAGATATTTTCCAGAGTTAAGAGGAAAAGGCACAAGTAGGGACATTTTTTTTCAATTTGATACCTATATATATGCTCACGTACCACTGAACCCCAGATCGGTCTGACTCCAGAAGCTCAGTTAAATATGGGACACCTAATTAATAACTTATGGTCTTAATATCACATCTCAGACCCAACCCTCGTGAACATTGTCATTCCTATAAGAAATTCTTTAGTTTAGTTATTTTCCGCAAGAACTGAGCATTGTTGGAGTTGAGGAAAAATGTCTCTAAGTTGAAGAAATATTCTTTATCTCCTTTAAAAGTCTGGAAGTACTGGAAAAGAGACAAACATTTTCATTTTCTTTTGCAAACTTGGTAAACTCAATGCCAGCAAGCTATTGGTCAAATAAGACTCCAGACCTTTCAGTTCATCAGAAAATGTCATTTGAGTCTTTTAGCAAGTTTGACCTCTACAAACTTGAATATAAGTCAAGGTAATTCTTTTGGCCAACTTTTAGAACTCCATACATACACAGACTTATTCTGACAACATACATGCAATATGTACAGGATTAACAATCCTTTGATAGTCAGCTCGTAGTATGCTAAATTATAATTTTAAAGTTCTTCGCTTGATTTTTTCTTTGAAACAAAACTTTTGTGGCTGATTTTTCCAATGTTCATAAAGTTGGTTCTCTAATTGTTTAACTGAAATCGCATTTACAACATTAAATGGAAGGCTATTCCATATATCTACATTTCTCTGCGTGAAAGAATGTTTCCTCCCATCCAACCTTGAAAACCCTTCATATATCTTAAAATTACCAGTTAGGAACCATCAGGAAGTTTTCCCAAAAACTAACTGGCCAAATATTTGATAGAAATAAAGTACATTAGATATATTCTCTTTTGTCATATTTTTCCAATCATCCAATCCTGTTTAACCAGACAATCATTGATTCAGAAAGAACAACTAAAGATGGTTCTTATCTTGCTTTGTGTATCAGCACTGATAAATAACCTAATGTTAACATTATCAGCTAGTTTTCAAAATGCATATATTGAAGAAATAAGATCTAAAATGGTGAAATGATTTTTTTATATAAATCTACAACAGATATATAAATGGCAACCTTTCTTTCGTGAAAGTTCAAAAGGGTGTCAATGTTGACAATGAGTGAGGGTAAAAATAAAATCAACCTGAAGGAAAAAATAACTACACTGTCTACAGACCTTGGCCCCATCAATGACAGTCTACTCCAGTTGATCAGCACAAATTTATATACTTTCAAATGAATATTTGCTTGTCTTCAACAAACCATAAAGGTGCAGGTTACTATCTTATGTAAAGTTTTTGCAAGCTCCTGAATTTTATACATATTCATGTAGTTTTGATCTCCATAACCTGATCAATCTAGTGAAAATTTGATCCTATCATATATATATGCACACAAATATCTTATGAAACATCCGGATCAATTATACAAATGTAAGTAACCACAACAGTATTTTTGGTCACCCATTTGTATACATGTAGATGTATTCTCTACACTGAATTGTTTGAGAATAAAAATTGTCATTGTCATTGAAGTGTCTGTATAGCCACATGTTTGACATGCAGCATAACAGAAAAATCCAATAACTTTAATAGAATATTCCATTTAAAGTATTATATATTATGTAACGAATATTCAATGATTCAATGAAAAAAACCCACACACCCACTGTCCAGTGTGTTATGTATATAAGCACTTACAATACACATTTGAAAACCAAACTTTACTTTAGTTTATCTCTTGTATGTTGTATTCATTAATAACCTGGCTATAAGTACTGTTACCAATGACTGAACAAAACACTTTTTAATTCTATAGTCACATTGTAAGCCACGTGTACCAACACTGCAAACGAAAACTCAGACATAACCTACAAAATGCATCAGTTTTCAATAATGGTTTACGGAAAATAACTAATTTTATGGTTCCAATGAACTTAACTTAATTGTTGATGTTTATTAGTTTAATTGTTGATGTTTATTAGTTTAAGCCAAACAAAAATTTATTTGTTTTTTAGCCTTGTTATCGTTAATGAGTATTGACCCTATGATCATTTGTGCTTTGCTAAGGAGCCAACAGGCTTTTTACCAATTTTGAATTAACACTGTGAAAAATTAGCTTTCTAAGTGTATCTAATTGATATTGTGCTAAAAATACCTGAATCTGAACTATATATTGTTTTTATTATATATAACCATTTGAATCCATTGCAAACAATAAAACTGGGCAAGATATAATTTTATGGTAGATTTTGGTTAGCAAAGTAATACGATTAAAAAGATTTGGTATTCTTTCCATCATATAATAATGTTAATATATTAGAATCAGTTTCAGCAAGAATACCACATGATAACTTAAATCATATGGCAAAAAAGCCAATTTTGGTGTTATATTTAGTATAGTTTGTCAAGTTACAGGTGAAACTTAAATGTAAATTGTGTTAGACTCCATTCTCTTCAGCTTTTGGGGACAATGTTTGAATTTTTTTTTTCATGCTGATGATAACTTAGGTTTGTCATGAAATTCCAATTTTTATGAAGTAAGATGAAACTTTTTCACTAGCTTATGTTAAAGAATTATTGAAAAACTGTTTCCTGGAGGGGACCAGAGGACTGATTTTGTTGACATCATTTGGCGTAAGTGGTGGTGAAGCTATATTTTGTTAGATATAGGATACTGATACAGAAGCATAGTCAACTTTTAACTCAGACATTAATGATTTTCAGAGGGACAGGATTTAGTCTTATTTTGCATTAAAAATTGGCACAAAAATGACTAAAAAGAACACTGCATTAGATTTTGTTATGTGATAATCTTCAATAGCAACTCTTGGATTATCTGCGGAAAACAATAATGGAATGGTAACATTAATGTACATTGAAGCTTATAAATGTTACATACATGTACATATACATATGTATAATGCCAGACTAAGAAAAAGATGTTTCAGTTCAATCTTTCTAATGAAGAATCTTCTTGTGCTTTTAAAATCAAAATTCAGCTAGAAATAAATATATCATTACCATTCTGTCAACCTCAACCTCTTAGAAACACATCTTCAGGAACACTTTTTTTTTAGTCTGGCCTTACAAGGATGAAACGTCACAATATTGGCCATGCAATCCAGCCACCTACTAGCCTACCTAGTAAACAAATAAAATACTGTAAATATGTACTACTACATATTTACAGTACAATGTGTAGAGTTGTGCTATGATTAATGGTACTTACTCCTGACATTGTTTGTCAATACTTTGCTATCCATGGGAGAGTCCTCACTTTGGAAAAAGAATTTTCATTTCTGGTAATTACATGTTTATACAGTACAAGCAAAATCACCCATTTTGATAGGAAGAATTATCATTGGAACCATGTAAATCTGGACAATAATAATCCATCAGAGGTGTACAATTTCATTAGCCCAATGTCTTGGGCTAGAATATTTTATGCAGGAGTGTACAATCTTATCAGAGTACTAGCCTGCAAAACGATTTTGAAAAATTAAGCTTACCTAACATATATTTTCACTAGCTAGACCCAACATAAAATCTTCGGCCTCAGTGGGCATTGGGCAAGTGAATTGTACACCCCTGTTATGTTGGGACTAATGAATTTTCAATACAGTGTATTGACTAGGAAAACCGAATACTTGTTGGCTAGATTTTGAACAAAAACTGTTTGCAGGCTAGCAAATACTCTAACAATGAAATTGTACACCCCTGTCAAATATTCATAAAGAGATTTCTGGACACTTGTGATTTGGCTCAGATAATCCATCAAATTTGTTTTTTGGAACTTAACATCCAGACTTTTATCTTATATCTATTAAACTTGCTTTCCAGGCACTTACATGTATACACTGGTTCCATAATTTGAATACTAAATATTGAAATTCAGGATATAGTTAAAGAGTTTTTTTGCCTTGGGAAAAATAGCAAGATTTTCCAGGAAATTGGATTTGAGAAACCAAATTGTCCAGTTTTGATAAACACACATGGTTCTAATGTAAAACATTTCAAAATATACTCAGTTCTGGTTCATACCTATTTGCGTTAAAATAACTAGCAAGTATTCATGATGAAACACTCACAAAAACTATTATAAAAAGGTGATATACTGTAAATCACTAACTTGCATGGTGTTTATAATTTTACTTATTTTGTGGGTAATCTTTTTCAACAAATTTATGGGTCAATGACATAATTACAAGTTTGATATAAAGAAATTCTTTGTGTGAGTGGGTACTTGCAATCCACAAATTCATGTACCCACGAAATAGTTTTTTGTAGCGAAACCATATAATTTGGGCCCCACAAAAATATCTTATTTCACAGTATGTGCTATTTGCAACCAAAAGACTCAATTATAAGGTATATAAAAGAAACAAATTTTGATGAATAAGGTTTAAAAAATGAAAAGATATATATAAAAGATTAACAAAAACAAATTATAAATCATGATAATGGGCAACCAACAAAGGACAGCTATTATTTTTTTATCATGGATCCATGATTTCTGTAAATATAGTACCAAGCTTTTTGATGGGATATTTAGGTGGAAGCTCATTCTACGGTTAATATTTAATTCAAGAAATCTGTATAAAATGAAATGTGCAGATTAAGCATATTTTGTGTGAGAGGGTGACACTTTCCATAAAAATTATCTTTTCCCGATCCATCAGGTTGCCAAGGCCATTGAACATTATATCTAAATCTAAATTTAATCACAATGAAAAGACAAGCTTAGACTAAACGTGAACCACATTCTACGAAGGCTATGAAATCATAATACTTTTATAGTAAATAATGTATGTATACATGCTTCCACCTGACACTTTGAAAAGGCTCGCACCAGCTTGAACTTTTCCCATCCACAGGTATGATCTGCCTCAAATGAAATGGGAGGAGGAGGGGTTTTGGTTTTACTATACATTGCATTCGCACATAGATCTACCAGGTAGAACCTTATTTTTGTTGAATAGGAAAGGCCTCAGCTAATTGTTCTTGAAGAACATGTACATGTACATATTTTTCTGCAGGTTCAATATATATTTGAAATTATCAAAACACATCAACTTGAAAGTGTGGTCGATTTCAAGACCCCAGAATTCAATATTTTTACAAATCTCAATACAGAATTTTGAACTGCAAAGGTAGTGTAAATTAACCTTTTTACTATGATAGGGGTCAATTTACTCAAAGACCAGATAAAGGTCAAAGTACTGTATGTTTACAGTGCAATTTCAAGATGTGTCCCTGATGCAGGTTTGGTGCTATTAAAAGCAATGTCATGGAATTGAAGATATTCTCCAAATCTTTCCAATGAAAAGGTCAAAATATGACCGCTGTAAATGCCATAAATTTGTCTGAACTTGAATCAAACAGCACATAACTCAAGTCCCACTTTACATATGATTTGACATGTGTTGAAACTATACCTGTGTAGTCCAAAACCAGGCCCTTTTGCACTACCTTAAGGTTTCAATGTAGTTTAGTTGACAAGGTAGCTCAATTGGTTAGACTGACAGTATAATGAACAAAGGTTCAGGGTTTGAATCCTGGTCTGGCCTAGTTGCATTTTTACTCTTAAAACACTTTACTGTTGTTTCATACAGACAAGAATAGAGCTCTTCTATTGCAGTTACAATCTATGACAGTGGTACAGGAATCCTTAAACTGCATGATCTGAAAACTCTAGCCAAAAGAATTCTTGAAAAAATAGCTACGGTTTATTTTATGCTTTTATTATACATCTATATAGGTATTGTAAGCCAACTCTAACCTTTTGGTTCAAACAGAAATTAAGCTTACGAAATTTGATTGTATTGGCATATGATATTGATAATCTTTAAGTTGCTGGAAATGCTGAAGGCAAGGTATAACTTTAAAAAAACCACATTGTGATATATGCTTAGGCCTATCAATTTTCTCTGCGCAAAACAGATCATCCCTTTAAATGACCTCTACATAATTGATGCATCAAATTTAGGTTGAATTTACAAGTAATTTCCAAGAGTCTGATTTAGAAACATGACTTGACAACTTTATAAAAAATAATTTATTTCAGCTCAGATTCAGGAACAGGAATTACGTGTAAATGTTACTTGCTGCGTTGGCCATATATTTTCAAACAACTTTTCAAAGAAACTTGCTTAATTTATGATGAAATAATAGATGTCAAGATTACACAGCAAATTTATAGGTGCACGGCCACTAGGTGTAATTTAACTGATTGTAGTAACCAAAATGAAAAGTCCATAAATCAGAAGTGTCTACATACAATTACAGTAAAGTCAATAAATCTACAATTCTAGCTGTCACGCTCCGGAATAACATTGGAATTGACATAGACAAATATATGTATGCAAACAGCATGCCAAAAACAACAAAAAATTACACATGTACATGTTTATCAATTGACAGAGATGACTGTACTTAACTACATACAAAGTACATGTTTACCATACAGGAAGGGAAATAGCAAAAGATTTTTGAAAATTTGATTTTCCCATCTTGCAGTGTAACAAAAAAAGCTTGCCTCTTGCTGTGTAAGTACTCTGAATAAAAAGCACTCTTCCACATTTATCTTATGAATGGGTCATTATCATTGGAAATAACAATTGAAATTATTATTGCCTAAAAATGCCAACTGCAAATGACAGCTAGGTCATCACTACAATTGTTAACTTCAGAATTTAACGTCTTGTACTATAATGATAACTTTATGACAGAATAAAAAGAACAAGTGATTTGAGATTCCAATTATAATATATGGCTTTGCAAGTACCTTCTAACCTCAAGAACCTAACTTCAGCAAATACCTATGCATACTCAGTTATTGATAATCAACCAATAGCATAGCTGTGTCATTGTCAGATGCTGCTAATAAAGAACCTCATTTTGAACAATCGTAATGCAGCAGTTTTGTGACAATTGTATGCAATCAACTTTTATATAACATTGAGCTATAGTATAAAAACAATATTCAGTCTTTGGGTACAGTATAGTTTTAATATTTACCCGGGTAACTTCTTTTTAAATCTATGTTGAAAATAACAAAAAAATCCTTTTGAAGCGGAAATATCATTAAGGCAGTCATATCGATAGATATAAACAGTGTTGTTAAATACTCTCGGTTTCAAGCCCCGTCTATTTGAAGGTCAAATTAAACTGTTTTAAATGGAACGTAATCTGTACCTTCCGATAATTAAATCAAACAGACTAGAAGGGGTGATAATATCATTCTCGAAAAAAATACTCACCTGATAAAAGGTTAAAACCAACACTTTGATTTTAGAGCCGTTGAAAGTTTACATTTTAAATCTCCAATGTTTCTGAAATAACAACTGTCGTCTGCTAAATATGGTCGCTTTGTAATGTCAACAGTTACACCATGTCATTACCATTACTAGGGGCTAATAATACACAGAACAACCTGTCACTTGTGTATGAACACTTGGATCTACCAAATCTCTTTAGAATCCCAGTAAATCCGCCCTAATGCAAACATATCTCGAGTTAATCAAACAGCGTGTGCGAACACTCAGAACTGTTCATACTGAAAACTCCTAAATCAAAGCACGACACAACGTTCCGACAACATATCTTACATTTGATTTCGGTTGTGTCTAAAACATCAAGGCCTTTCGTGTCGCTGTCTCATCTTCATTCACACAAACAATATCTCGTCTAAACATGATTATAGACAGCAGAGATCATGCTAATCCCAGACCGACTTGCCAGAACGCATGTATCTACTGACAACAAATAGCATTCCATCGATTGTACTTACATCCGGTTAATGAATGATTGAGGTTAGGTCAACAAAATTAAATGTTCTCGGAGTCAGTACCTTACTTATAATCAATAAAAACATTTAAACAAATATGTGAATATGTTAATGTTCAGGTGGTATTAAAATAAATTATCAATAATGCAGTAACAAACACGTAATTAAATAGCAATTAATGTTCATTAAATGGAACAGCCTTCGAAAATATAGATTACGTAGTCACGTGATACACTATTGGGCCGCCTACATCATGCATAAACATAAGGAGATACGGCATAGAAATAAATTTAAAAAAATCAGAAATAATGAGATATTTAACAACATTTTTTTGTTAAGTAAAACTTTACAGAAAATTATTGTTAAATATCTCATTATTTCTGGGGGTGGGGGTGTATTATCATTAAAGATTAATCTGTTGTATACACTAAATATCTGCTGTAAAATATCTAACCGAGAATGAATCTTCCTTTGAAATTAATTCATGAAATAAAGGGGACTTAACTCCTGATTTGATTTTTATTATATGCATCAGAAGTGGAAATTTTCATGTTGATCTACATTTGTACATTATAATGTATTAATATATATTTTAACACCAATATATTGATACTAAGGTCATGGAAATTGAAAGTCATTCTAGTTTGTTTTTATTATTGCAGCAGTTTTCCTTGTTTCATCTGTGATATGACTCAAAATCCAGGTCAGAGTTATTCAGATTACCCTTTCTTTCCTGCATCTTAATTTTTCTGCCATTTTACAGGCAACTTCCATGTTTCTTACATGTTTTCTGTTATTGTCTCCACCGTTAAGAATATGATTAATTTACTAGGAAAGCATAATTGACAAGTTTAATATTCTACCACATTTTATTCTTCTGTTGAAGTGGCACGCCTGTGTCATGTAAAATGACAGAAAAGTCTGTTTTCTATTTACATTTATTATCATAAATAACAAATTGCCATTATCAACCAACTTAATACCAGACATTTTACAAAAGCATTTTAACATCACAGACAGCAACATAAAAATGTTAACTATTTAATTTTCAAAACATTTTAATTAATTTGAATTATAAACAGAAAAAAAATCATATTTTGCCATTTTTTATAAACAGCTTGACACAGACATGAATAGAGGACAATAATGCCAGAGTTACCACCCTTTAATGAAGTTCGACACAGACATGAGTATAGGACAATAACACCATAGTTACCTCCCTTCTAGTTTGATAAAACTTATAACATACACTGCTAACAGCAATTGAATTAACAAGTGTTTCTATGTTAATACATCACCAAACCCTACAAACACTGCCTATATAATCATTAATGCTAGGTAAAACCACCTAATTTAACATCATGCCAATTAAGTCACTGCTAATAGTTTGTACTGCTGAAGCTTATAAAATCTCTTTTCTTATAAATGCTACCAAATCATACCTTTGTGATCCGACACCTCGTATACATGTATTGTATCACAAAGAGTATCAGATTTATACAGTTTTTTTTTGTATCCCAAATAGTGTCAGATTTATACAGATTTTCTTGTATCCCAAAGAATGTCAGATTTATACAGGTTTTCTGTACTAGATAAATTAATAAAATGGAGATATTTTCCATTGAAGATGTATTTCAACTTTCTTGTAAATAAAATTTATTGGCAAAGTATAAAAAAGGCATTTTAGAAAATATAAATGCATGTAATACCGTACAATATTAATTATTGTTCAAGAACTATGTTTCTTATTTCTTTTAACATTAGCAAACTGTACATTTTGGTTTGAATTTTAGTTAAAATCTGTAGTAAATACATGTACCTCCATCTTCACTCTCCTTTAGAAATGTTAAGAATGTTTGGGACAATAAAAAAAATCATTTAAGGGATGAAAATGAAATTACAACACACAATTTAAATGATCTTACAGAAATTATCATTTTAACAAGTTTCAAAATAGTTAACACCCTGGAAATCAATTCACTTGTTTTTTACACAGACATGTTGAATATCAAGATAAATCTCCATGATTTGGAATACATTCACATCAAGTATGTATTTCAGAGCAGGCATGAACACTAAAACTAAGGTCAAATATTGAACCAGATATTTCATTAAATAATTTCAGTGGAAATTTAAAATGATTTAATTTCTGTTTCGCTAACTTGGATTAATTAGCATTGAAATCTTCAAACTTATAAGAAATGTGACAGAAACATCTCAGAATTCTTTATCAACATATTCCAAAAGCTGCCAAAAAACAAAACACAGGAGTCTGAAGAGTCTAATTAATTAGATAAACAATTTTCAAGAATATAATTTTACATCATTATTGTCATAACTACCAGATCTCAATAAGGATTTTACCACACTTGCATGGCACTACTGATATCACAATTAAAACATGGAACTAACCAATGAAACAGGATGTTACATATAACAAATGATTTTACACATAAATTCACTGTATAGCACAGGAATAAAATTACTTGTGTACCGAGTAAATTTAAAAATTCAGAGATATATATTAAATATATGCGTCAATGATACTAAACAACACAATATCACACACTTATACAAGAGATCCCAGAGGGATCTTAGTGCCCACCTTTGTACCATCTTCATTAGTTCTTTGTCAGTTCGATCTTTTCTCTTCTTTCCTCTAATCTGTTTGATCGAGTCATATTAACAGTAAATGCACCTTGAGGTAACTTTTGATCTAAATTTAATACTGATGTGTATGAAAGCCAACCTTCAAAGTGAGTTTGTCATTTCACATATTTACTAGTACAGTACTTAATGTGAAAGAAATAGAATCGATCATTGCAATATGAGAAAGATCTGTTTAGTTCTTCTTTTAATCCATTTTGTTTTTATGATCAGTCTCAAAATATAACATACACAACGAGGGATCAAGGGGAACCTACAT